ACCTGGGTCAGGCTCCATGGGCTCTCAGCTTTCCTCCCTAGCCAGATTACTCAGAAGAGCTCTCAACAAAGGACGTTCCCTTTAAGAGAACTCTTGACGACCCGAGAAAGAGAACGGGTTTTATTTTTTTTTCATCTGAACTACACATGCATCTTTGTCATGAGCATAAGATTAAGAATTTGTAGGTGTTTAAGAAATACTTTTGTTGACTGTCATTGTCTGCTATCTTGGTCCTTGACCAGTTTCAGGTAACTCTAGAAGCTTTCCATTTCTGTCCTCCTTGGTTGAGATTAGAATGACTTCATTGATCTGTGAGCTATTTTAATTCTCATTTTGCCCTTTACAGGATTCTCTTCTGATCAGAAGAGGGAAAAAAGATTTGTGTGAAAATCATCTCTTACTTTGAGAAAAATATTTTTATAAAATAAGTTAAATACTTTTTAAACTGGAAATATCAGGATTCACCTTTGAGTCTTATTAGGACATTATACCAGTAGGAATAAGTAGTTGGAATGAATGAAAACCTGGGGCCTCTGGAATCTGTGAAATTCTTGGCTACTGAAAATATCCTGCATTTTAAGAAGTGCCCCTTGGCAGAGCTTAGGGGAACACAGCACCATGCCACCTTCCCTCCCTCACTCCAGTGGCAACCACAAAGACTACTTCCCTTAAGAATCTGGGAACGGTGATGAATCTATTTGGAAAGACTGTATTTGTGAACCTCAAAGCACTGGTAGATGAGAACCCCCAATGGGTACATGGTTGAGTGGTCTGTGGTGGACAGACCCCACCCTGGATGGTGGAGATGCCCGTGATCCTGGGGTGCTGTGATCATGACTCCTCCGAGGTAGAACTTGGCCATGAAGTAAAAGAACATATCTTTGGCCTTTCATTCACTCGTAAACACAAGCATTATACAGTGACGCGCCAATCAGAGATGTGTTTGGCCTTCTAAAGCACCTTTAAGCCCTTGTCACTGGTCCAGAAGCCAGTGCCTAAAAAGGAAGTGTGGGAGCAGCACAAACACACCCGCTGAGCCCGGGCACAGCCTGCTTCTGCAAAGATTGTGTAAACGTACTTCATGGGCATCTCTGTGTGGCAACAAGAGCATAAAATACCTTACATGAGCTATCTCCATTCTAGGAGGTGCCCTACAAAATACACTGAGCCTTGTGCTGGGAGTCAGAGCCCTGAGTTTCAGGCCCGACTATGCTGGTCACTGTCTACAGAGACACAGCCAAGTCACTGATGGGCTCCCCGTGTTGGTTCTTCATCAGTATATGTGGGTGACACTGTGCGCCCTATAATTAAACACTATTGCTCTTTCTCCACATCACAACTGTGCCTGGCCCGTTGCTCTGTGAGTACTTCTTGAGAGATGAAGACAGGTTTGCTCTGGGGATAAAACAAAAGAATAAACAGATCTAGCTCCAATAAAATTTGAAATTATTAATGTGATTATAATCATATTATAAATACTGCATTACTGAAGGCTCATTACATAATCCACAGTTTGCATAAATACCAACACCACATTTTTAAAGACTTCCTCTATGATGCATTTGGTTTTTCTGTGAGTCCAGGAACAGTTCCCTATGGACAAGCATTTACCTATTTATTCTGTTACATCAGCCAAAACTGGCTGACCCTGTGTCCCAGTTTGCCAGAGACTTCTATAGTTTGCTGTTCACTTATGCTGCCCTGGTATAATTTCTAGTATCATCCCCTTTCATGGACAAACTTTCCCCGGTTTGGATGATAAATTTTATGTTGACCCCATTTAGGCATAAATATTGGTGCTCTACTATATTCTTTATGGAAGAGACACAAAAAAGCATAAAAGCAGAGAAATGAATATTGCTTCTGAAGACTTTAAATCCTGTCTTTAAAAGCATCTGTCTTCTGCTATGAAGATAACTCATGTGCCTATGCCTAATGAGCACTGCAGGAGATTTTGCGATGGGGAATTTGAGCTGGTCAGGAATGCTCAGCCACAGTTTCAGCAAGGAAGCTCCAGCTGAGCTGAGATCAGAAAGATAAGTGAGAGTTATGCGAGGAGGGTTAAAAACAGAGGCAGTAGGTGTCCATCAACCCGTGAATGGATAAAGAAAATGTGGTATATATACACAATGGAGTTTTATTCAGCCATAAAGACAACTGAAATTATTATGGCATTTGCAGGAAAATAGATGGAACTAGAGACCATAATGTTAAGCTAAATAAGCCCAGCACAGGAGGCCAAGGGTCTTATATTTTCTCTCAGGCAGAAGCTAAAAAGGAAAACGGAAAACAAAGGTGGGAGTGGATCTCCTAAAAATCAAAGGGGGATCAATAGAGGAAAGGAACCAGGGGGTAAGGAGCAGGGAAGAATGAGGGAAATCTGGGGAGTGATATTGGCCAAATTATATAGTTATATTGTGTGCATGTATGAATATGCAACAACATCAGTATGTACAACTGTAATGCACTAATTTTAAAAAATGAGGAAATTTTTTAAAAAGAGGCAGAAGACAGCTTGGGTCAAGGCCCTGTGCTGGGAGAGAGAAGGGCACAGGGCTGGGAGGGAACAGAGAGTCCAGAACTTGCACACACAGCACAACAGGAAGGAAATGAGGCTGCAGAGGTAGGTCAAGAGAAAGGAAGGGCATTGCAGTGTTTTAAGCCAAAAGTCACAGGATCAGAATTGTGCTGGTGCATATCGGCTCAGCTAAGTAGTAAAGAGTAGACTAAGAGGGGGAGACTCGGAGAAGGCCAGGTGATAAGGGGGAGGCTGAATTTGATGAAGTTGCATTTTGGGGTTCCTGGCCTCTTGCACCATCTAAATGGATAGGAGATGTGAGTGACAGGTGGTGATGTGTGTGATGAAGTGTTCCAGCAACGCAAGCCACTGGCTTGGAGTGAGGCTTAGTTTAAATCAGTGCACAACAAAGAGACTTGAGGGGAGGCTAAGGAAGGAGTCCTGGTCGCCCTCGTGAAAAGGTGGGCAAGTGAGGAAAGATGGCCAGGAAGGTAAGGGGAAGCTAGGAAATGATGACAGCCTGGAGCTCTGGCAAGAAAGCCTTGGAAGGAGGGAGTGGCCAACAGTATCAAATACCACAGATTAGTTAGTAAAACCTGAAAAAGTAGCCTTTAGAGATATCATCTGGGAGGTTACTGATTACCTTGGCAATATGACCTCGTGCAGAACCGGTTGGGGCTGGAGGCATGTTGAGATTGGTTAGGGGTGAGGACTGCGCACACACTACCTTTTCAAGTAGTTTAAACAGGAACAGGGAGACTGAGGGCAGCAGAACTTAAGAGCTAAGAGGCCAGACGCAAGGCTCTTTGTCAGTGTTCTTACTCTGTGTGCCTTGAGCATGCTTGCATGCTGTGGTGTTCTGATAACCCGGGGCTCTGGGAAGATCAAAGCCCTGATCTGTAGCCTTCACAGATGACCATGGTGTAAATACTCCCACCGTGGCTGAAGTCAAGCTAGCCATGTGACCTCATTGAAGGCAGATTTGAGGGGGAAAAACCTAGAATCAGCCACCAGCTCCAGGGCACTGCTGCCCAAAAGGCACTGGGGTGGGGCACAGGTTGACAGTTTGCGTGAGAAATGGTACAACCAATAGAACAGGTAAAGAGGGGTCTTGAACAAAGGTGGAAGAATTAGTGTTGGGAAGGAAAAAAAAAGTCCCCTCCAATGGGTTGGGTGGGAAGAGGTAGGTTGGAACAAATTCATAGTGAGGAGAGGAGGTCCAGGGAATTCTGTCTTCATTTAATCAGAAGGCAATTCATGTCAGAACACAAAGGAGATGGGTTGCTGGGCAGTGTTGGGGTCCTGGGATGTTGGAGACCAGGTATTTGCAGCAGCACCCATCCATAGAATCATATGGATTTATCTAGAACCTAGCAGCTCAGGCATAGGAGCACAGAAGTAAAATGATTGCAAAAGGACATTACATTAAGCACCAGGATCTTGGGCTGGATATAACCACGACTTTAAAAAGTCTCTGTGGAATGTGGAAGGCCTTGCTGGATCCCAGGTATTCACAGACATGAGATATGGCTGGACAGGTGAATGTAGAAAGAGAACTTTTCTTGCAAAAGTGAAGAAATCCTATATTAAAGTTGGCCATGAAGTGAGCTAGCCTGAGGGTTCAGAGCTGGCAGGGATTAAGAAGAAACCCTACACTTGAGAAGATACGAGTAGATGCAGGGAAGAGACCAGGTGCCCCTGGGTGGAGAAGGGGATGTACTTTCTCTAGAGTTGAGACTCACAAAATGATTTTGGCTTATTTGCATGTGAGGGTTTGGCTTCGTTTAGATTTGTTTGTTTGCTTTCATTTTAACCATTTACAAAAACATGTTTGAAGAGTACATGTTTCTGATTACAGTTATGGCATGACACATTAAGGAATAACAATTGAAATGTCCTGGGCGCCAGAAAAACATTTGGCATTCTTAATCACTTTTGCTTTGCTTGATAAAAGTTACTGTGGGCATGTCCTCCCAAAACGAAGTTCAGGTGTAAAATCTGAGATGAATCATGAGCTTCTCAAATAGTATTTTTGGATTCGTTTCTCACGCACAAAAGATTGGGATCCTGAATAAGGCTCCTGTCCTAAAACTGCATCCTTGCATAGGAAGGACCCTCAGGCAGTTGCTGGCCTTGAGTACAACTGGTTGTGTTGACTTCTGTGTTTGGGGACTAGAAAAGTATAGAACAGGACCTCTAAATAAGGAGTCATGGTGACATCACTGTCTCGGAGGGGGGTTGGGGCTACTTCTGTGGTAGAAGTTGAAATAAATTTCTTAATATACAACCCCATTATCATTGGAAAATCCTAATACAGGATGGAAGAGGTACCCCCATGTGCTCACACACACATTTTTATCATTGTTGCGTTAGTCAACAAGGACTGATGTGATTGCTGGTGGTATCCATCAGTTAGGGATGGCAGTTCATTTCTTGAGTCTGAGCAGTAAACTACGTGGTAAGGTTCTTGGGTGCCAGGGGTCGGGGTTGGTGGGTATTGTATCATTTGCTTTGTCAACATACAGTTTATTCTTTTAAGCTGCCTGTCATTTCTGGATTAACCATTGTCCAGGAAACTCACCCACACCAAACAAAGGAACAGTTCCCTTCCTTGGGTTTTATCCTTCCTCCTTGAAAGCTGACATTCCTCGAGGCCATGTCCCCAAGTGACTTGTCCTGCCCTAGCTAGATAGAAATAATCTGTACCTAGCTCTAGAGTTTATCAGACTACCTCTTCTCATGCCAGGTCAGTGTGCAGAGGGTAGAATAAGATACATCACAATAGGAAAGTTGAGTTTTCTGCCTTTCTACTTCATTGGAAACATAATTTTGACTGTGACAAGTAAATGGCATAGGTGCAGGGGAAACAGTAGCAACCATCATGTTGTTTTGGCAGAATTCTCATGTTACAGTATCAAAAAAATGTCAAGAAAGATGACGGCAAGGGTTATAACATCCCTTGCAAATAACAGCAAAGCTCTAATCAACTGATATTCAGACAAGCACAGGACTGAAGTGAAACCTACCAGCGCAAAATATCACAAGTGGTTCATTGAACACTGCACAGAAGGTAAATGAAGTGTGTATTTTCCAATCCCAACTGGAATTTTAAGTGAGTGGAATGGAATAAACTCAGTTTGGAATTTGAAATAAATTCAGCTTGGAATGTGTCTTGAGACCAAAGTTTACATAAGAGTTACACAAACCTCTCAGCATGAAGCATGAACAAGGTGGAATGTTCTGGCATCCCAGAGTCTGATGGGGACTCCTGCAGGACCAGGGCACAGATACTTCATCAAGGGCTATTTGTTTCTAATTGGGGAAGAAAATGCAGACGTTTATATAAGATGCTGGGTCTGGAGTGGGATCCACCTGGTACGTGGAGTTGTGTACACTTTCTTAGACATGGCATTTCTAGTTGAGTGTCACCAATAAAATATTTTCATCAAATTTCCATTCTTCTTTCTCTTGATGCCTGCTTCCATAGTTCTAAGGAGTGTCATAGATCATACTCACCACAACTGATTAGTGCAAATGAGAAGTGGTTAGAGAAAACACAGGGACAGAGTAAACTGGAAGGAATTCAGAAGAAACTACTCATAGCAATTGTTGCCAGAGTTCTCTTCTTAAATTATATGTTCTCATCATCTAGTAAGTTTGTAGGGGAATCATAAAGAGGAGAAGCAATCAGTAATGAACACCGCATCATTTTTGAAGGTGAGTTTGAGGTCATGTAAGAGACTTTTAAAATGCAAAGTTGAAAAACTCATGTATTTCTTAGAAACTAATAAATACTGGATTTACTTGGGGCTCCAGGGATCTGCAAGGTGCTAGACTTCATAAAAGGAGATCGTCTGTATGTTAACTCCATGGAAGAGGGAGATAACATGGAACAGAGGAGAACCCAGAAGGGTGTGGGGCTGAGGAATGGGCAGTCCTAGCAAGGGCCTGAGGTACCAGTAGTGATGAAATGCTGAGCTGGGGACTGCAGGACATGTGGAATTGATGGTCAGGTTCAGTGGTGAGCTTGTTCCAAGTGCACAGTTGGGTTTTGGGTGAAGGGGATGGTCGTGGTAGTGGAATTAGTCCATTCTACTGTGTCACACTTTTCCACTTTAAACAGTAGCTTGTGATTATTTAGCCCACATTTGCATTCAGGTAAAACCAAGATAATTTAGCAAATATTTGCCTTCCTGGCAGTGACGGACCTGCCAGCATTACAGTTTCAGGGGCAGTTCTATAATGTTTACCGTTTCCACTGCCTAGAGCTTTCTGTATATTTATCCCTGGATTAGACTCAAAGTAAGCTGATTTTATCAAGCCACGGGGTAATTCTAACCATTTCATCTGGCGATTTTAGTATTGCATTGTTGCAGCTGACCCGCATACATAAGGAATTACCGGGTCAACAGCTCGTGGAAATGTCTTTTCACTGGGAACACACTTTCAGCATGTCTCCATTGAAGGTAAGTGAAAAAGAAGAATTGCATGATCTACTTGAATGCTAATTTTAGACAAATGAAGATGGTATTTCAGGCATGGCTTGTGTGTATCTTCTAAAACGCAGTATAGCTGGGATATGGCTCAGCGGTAGAATGCTTGCTCCACATGCATAGGGCCCTGGGATTGTTCCCTAGCACTGGAAGAAAAAAAAAGAACTTAAAATGTAGTAGAACAGCGACTCAGTGTAGAAACAAGAGGTCTTTTGAAGAACAACTGAACAATCAGATGAAGCAACCGTGTCCTTCAAACCACATCCTTCCTGTTGCCTGTGGGAAAGGGGTGGTATTTGTGTTGAGCTCTGAGCACATGCAGAATAGATCTGTGTGTATTTCCATAAATAAAAGAACATTGTATGTGTGTTTGGCACCTGGAATGGCAAGAGAAGTTGATTGCTTCTGAAAATTTGTTCCAACTCAAGGGTCAGTAGAATTTATAAGCAATGAACTATGAACCAGGCACTAAAAAATACATATGCAGGATACCCACGACAGCACTAAGTTTGAAGAATAGCACTGAGACCTGAAAATTGTGTTTCATCTGTCTTAATGTTCTATTTAATGTGGTTCCCGAGAAGGATTTAACACGTGTCCACCCTGCAGACTAATGACTGTGTAGTCGTAACATTTGGAGATATTGCCTGTTGCCTCGATGAGAATAATCTAGGAAGTATCATATGTAAGCATATGTTTTGTCAAAACTAAAAACCTTGTCTTATTTTTTTTTCTGTTTATGTTGTTCACATCATGTTCATGCAGTCGCAGGCAGTTCATGATTTTGTCATTTAATCAGGAACAAAGTAGCACCCTCTCTCTCAAAAAAAAAAAAACAAGAAGTTTAAAGTATAAATAGTGTTTAAAATTAAGTTTGTATTATTAAAACAAAATAGTAAAATTCTCACACCACTCAGCTCCAGGCTTCCTATCTTGCAAATAGCTACTGAGCGAAGAAAGAACTAAGCACAAGTCTATTTTAAATGCCTCTGGTATTTTCAAACATTTAACCCCAGACTCTTATTAAAGGGCTTTCCCTATCTGTGTAAATCTGGGAAATTTATATTTTTTTTTTAAGTTTTCTGCTAAGTTGTTCTCCAGAATTTACACATAAATTCAGGAATAGGCATAAATTAAAAAGGAGACAGTTAAGTAATTCATGCTGAAAACTATGCACATGGCTTTGCCTCTATACATGTGATCAAAGTGCTTCACCTTCTGAATAAGGAAAATAATCACAAGCGATAGCCACTGGGGCTTAAGTACACTTTTTTCCAGCATGAGCAAAACTTCCTTTGAGCAACTATGGCAGGAAGTATTTTGTTGAGAAGCAAGATGCATTTTTAAATGTATTTTTGCTTAATTTGTACTCAACTGAAATTGATTTGAGAACATATATTTATTTAAGCAATGATCTACATAATTTATGACATGAGCATTATGTATTGTGAAGTTTTAAGTAATCACGATTCTATTTAAGAGATTCAATCAAAGGTAGGCTTCACTGGAGGACTGGACATGTGTCAAAAGTCCAAACTGTAATTATGCTCTCTCTCAGAAAACCCATGAGTTTTAGTTCTTAGACATGATACTGTGAAAGTGTTCCAGTCTAATTCTGTGAGTAAAACCCTCTGTAGAGGGAATGATGAATAGAGAGGAGAGATCAGCAGTAGTCTGGGAGGAATGTCCTTTTCCAGTCCACCATTCATTAGGAGTCACCTCTCTTCCCATCTCAAATGGATCTGCTTAGATCAGAATCCCAGGTGTTTCAGAATCAGGTAAACAAATTTAAATGATAGACATGACATTCAACTTTAGGCATGGCATTTCTATTGAGGAATCATTAATGTTTTGGGGGCTTCTAAAACATAATAAAGAATGTATGCCCTATAGATGACATAAGTGTATTTCATTAACAGGCAGTACAAAGTGTCAAGCTGAAAGTCAGAGGAGGAGTTTATATTTTAATGAGGTACAGAGAAACTGTGTTCATAAAAGACTAAAAAGGACTAAAAGAAAAGTCTTGTATATATTTTCAGTCCAAATGAAGACATTGCATTGAAATGGTTCTGACACTGAAAATTTCTCATGCGGTAACCAATATGTGTTATCTTCCTACAGTATGGGAAGCTCCAAATAAATGTTAAGCATGCAATCCGGTTGGGGATTATAGGCACCCATGTTTTATATGCTCTCACAAGACAACAGGAGAAAAGCACAAACAAGACACTATAACAGCATGGCATGAAAGAATAAATGTTGCAGAAGGTGAGGGAGGGGAGCCAGATCCAACGTGGGAGATTTCCATGACAATGAAGTATTTTTTTTAATAGACTTTAAAAATGGGTTAAAGTTTGTTCCTTGTTGAGAAAGTAAGGATGGGTATTCCAGACCATAAATCCCTATAAGGAAATGAAAAATAACTAATTTACCAACTCACATTCAGCTTTTGGTTCAATGGACAAGCATTTAGATACAATGCAGTTTATTTGATCTTTTCCTGAATATATCATTCAATTTCTTTAATGTGCCAGCCAAACCCCGTGAAGCAATGTAACTACTTGATTTTGCCGGATGACTTATAAAGATGTAGTCACATGGAAAAAGCTAAAAGGATCGACTGAAACCAATTTTCTTCCACTCTAGTAAAATGTGACTGTTTCAGTCAAGTCAACTACACAGATGACAAAACAAAAAGACCCTGGCCGCCATGTTTCTCTGTGCCTGCCCATGACCACATGTGCCTGCCCACTGGTGGGCGTCTAGTTAGCTACAGAAGCAGCTATAACTTCTGTCTTATCCCCATAAGTATTTTTCGTACCAGCTTACAAAATCTTTTTTTTTTTTTGCAGTTTAATACCTAAAGGACACAAATACCTGTGCCTAAAGCCATATATTCTAGCCTTGGCATCATTGCCTACTGGATTTGTGACTTTGGTTATTATTTGACATCCCTTAGTCTTAGTTTTCCTTCACTGAATCATCACTCATGAAGCTCATCAAACAACACAAATGCATTTTCCTTTTCCACCATGCAAGTATATCCGAATTAAGAATCTTTGTTGTGTTATACAAATAATGAATTCTGTTTGGAGCTAAGTTAATCATTCCAGGGTGGCATTAATAATGAACATTCACCTGGGATTTCTTTTTTCCCCTAAGTTAGCTATACATCTATTGTAGGAACATTCATAAATGATTGTACCTTATTGAATAGCATACTTCTTTCACTTGGTTTTCATAAATTTGAGCATGTTCCAAGATAGATTTGAGTGTGAAACAATCACAGACTATAAAAAATTAAAAGGGAAATAAAGGTTATGCTAGGGTTGGTTATTGTCACCACTCTATTACTTTGTTTTGCTGATAAGCTCACAGTTCCTTATGGGTGAACATAGTGTGTCTAGATTGGCACTTGGAGTCAGTAGCCACTCATGAATGTGCTCAATATCCTCTGCTTTCTCACAATGATTTCCTCTGTGTAAGGCAAGAAATCCTGATGTTGGAATGTCAATGAACTCTTCCATTTATTTATCTATAGGCCAGGTGTCAGCACTCATTTACTTGCCAGGAATGCTAAATAACATGAAATAGTTCAGTTTAGTAAGCATGAAACAGTAAAGAATTTCTATAGATTCTCTACCATCAGAAAAATAAAGGGAAAATAAATGCATTCTAAAATAAATTAATTCCTTTAATTTTTAAAAATGTTGCTGTCCATTTTTCTTTGGAATATCTATCATGTTTTCCTTATCAGAGAAAATATGAACAGAATTTGATATTGCCTTAATTTGGATTTACTACTTTCAACTTTATCTTTCAAGTGAATAACAGGACAATAAGGCTCAGAAAATCCAACAACTTAGGCAAGTGTCTATAAAGCTAATATGGTGGTTATGAAACTCTACAGCTACAACTGATAATAAGAAGTGCTCTTGTGTCTTAAGTAATCCCTGTGTGCCATGCACTTGCCTGCACTTCCAGGGCCCCATCTTGCCACTCCAAGATGTAAGGTGATTGCATATGGTCCCCACCCTGGAGGGAAAGTGTCTGAGACATTTCTGGAGTTAGATGGGGAGTCACCATGAGTCCTAGTGGTGGGCTGGACCCATCATGGCTTGGGGGCCTCCTCTTCTCACTGTTTAGCCTCCAGTGATTCTGAAACTTGAAGATGAGGCCACAGGGTCCAGGCCAGGAGCAGTTTGCATCCTGACAGCACCAGTTCCACTGAGTGCCAGGTTGGGGAACCTGCCAAAAATGCAGGGGCTTTCACCACAAGAAGTCAGGAAACAAATTCCACTTTATGAATGGGTCTATCTTGGCCCTCAGCTGATGTTCACTGAAGCCAAGCTGCACAGCCTCTCTTACTTTCATATATGGTTAAATCCCCACAAATCTGCCCCTTTGTTTCTGTCCAAATCAATATTGACCCAAAGCCGGAAGCCTTGCCTTTTTTGCCCATGTTGTAGAGGCTGAACTAAAGTCTACTTGTCAAGAATGTTGATTTGGGAGGGCATAAACACCTCCGGGTCCTTAAAGCCCTCCCACAAGCACAGAAGTGCCTCTTGAGCATTTAGTGAGACTAGGGAGATTCTTCCTATGCAATCATTTGTGGAGCAGATGCAACAGACAGGACCCAGGACCCAGCAGAACACGGATGGCTCTAACACTGCAAAAGAGTTCTTTTCAGTGTTCTTCCAGTTGAGCTGGTTTTTTTTTGTTTTTGTTTTATCTTTTTTTAATCAGTATGTATGGCAGTATTTAGAGTTAATTTGAGAACTAAGAAGGAATAGACATAAGTCCAAACTTTGCCATCTAATTGTGTGTGTGTGTTGGAAAGTGACTAACCCCACCAGACTAGTTCTTATGTTTGTAAGATGCTTGTGTTGGTAGGATTCATTGAGAGCGTACATGTCAAGTCTTAGCACAGGGCCCACTACCCAGAACACAAGTAATAAATTCTAATGATAGAA